ACTGCTCCCTGACTCTGTCCACTCCTCTCTCCGGCCCCTTGTCCCCTGTCCACTGCTCCCTGACTCTGTCCACTCCTCTCTCTGGCCCCTTGTCCTCTGTCCACTGCTCTCTGACTCTGTCCACTCCTCTCTCTGGCCCCTTGTCCTCTGTCCACTGCTCCCTGACTCTGTCCACTCCTCTCTCTGGCCCCTTGTCCTCTGTCCACTGCCACTCCTCTCTGGCCCCTTGTCCTCTGTCCACTGCCACTCCTCTCTGGCCCCTTGTCCCCTGTCCACTCCTCCCTCGCTCTGTCCACTCCTCTTTTCTCCGACTCCCTATCCTCTGTCTCCTCTCCCGGTGGACTGGGTGTTAATGCTGTGAGACCCTCGGCAATCCCGAAACGCAGATCCCAGTCCAACAGGCCACGCCAGGGCCGAACCGGACCGAGCCCCCCGACCGTCCACACACACAGCTCGGACCCGGCCGGTATCCCGGGGTTAACGGACTCGCCCCCCCCCGTCTCTCCCGCCGCACTTGTTAATCAAGAACCCCCCCCCAAAAAGAGATTAATCCACACTTTCCCCGCTCCTGCTCCTCAGGGGGTCGTCCTCAGCATCCCTCCGTCTCCTCCGCCGCCCCGGCTCGGTGCTTGTGGGACCGAAACCTGCGCCGGTGTGTCCGCCTTCACCTCGCCGCGCCGGGCGGATGGCTGTATCCGAGGCGGTGGCGGCTGCCGCTGCGGCGAGCCCGCTTCCCTGCCTCTCGCCGGCCGACGCCGCTGCCGAGACTCGGCGCCTCACGGGCGGCGACGCTGTGGGGACCAACGGCTAGAGCGCGCGAGCGAGAGCAAGCCCAGCTGAAGCCCGTTCGGTCCGCCTGCCCGGGCTCGCGCTCCTCTCCGCCTCTGTCTCCCGTCTCCGTCTCTGCCCTCCTGTCTCCCTCGCGCTCGGCCCCGCCCCCCGCCCCCTGCCATTGGCCCGCGGGCGGGCTGGGCCAGTCGCCGACTAGCTATTGTCTGGGCAGCAGCCCCGCCCCCCGCAGCCTGTGCGATTTGCATATCCCCGCCCCCTAACCTGCAGTCGCTCTCCATTCAATCCGAGTGCGCTCCGTCGGCACAGAGACTTTCCTTAGGCACCTGTTATGCAAAAGCTCGTACAGATGTTTTAAAATAAGAAGGGCGATTATCATTAATAGTTATAAACAAAAGGAGAACAAATCAAGCAACAGGAGGAGAAGTAAAGGAGCCCCCGGCAGGCCCTGAGAGTTCACTGTCCGAGCCGCCGAGCTGATGCGCAGGCAGCCGGAGCTGCTCTGTCCCCGTGCACAGATGTTGGGATGTGCACGGAGCGCGAGGGGTTCTCGTGAGCGCTTCACGGGAGCGCCGGTCGCGAGCGAAGCCCATTACATCACCCGTTACACAATCCGGCACGCGGAAACACCTTGAGCGCCAGCGGATTGCGAGAGCCGGTTTGAGCAGAGGATGAGGGAGAATTTGTTTTTTTTTTTAATAGTGGCTGAATTGGAAGTGGGCTGGCCACGCAGGAGAACAGGAGCGAGGCTGCAGGCGGGGGCCTGGGCTCTGAGACACAGGGAGGGAGGGTGCGGGTCTCTCGCCCGGGTTCACGGACCCTGACAACTGCAAATCACACGCGCCTTGAAACAAGCCTATCAGCCCGATTCTGCACAGACTTGGTCTGGTTCTGGACGGACTGGGTCTGGACAGGCTGGTTCTGAAAGGCCTGGTTCTGGACAGCCTGGCTCTGGATGGATTGGGTCTGAAAGGCCTGGCTCTAGACAGCCTGGTTCTGGATGGACTGGGTCTGGACAGGCTGGTTCTGAAAGGTCTGGCTCTGGACGGACTGGGTCTGGATGGATTGGGTCTGTAAGGCCTGGTTCTGGACAGACTGGGTCTGGACGGATTGGGTCTGTAAGGCCTGTCTCTGGACAGACTGGTTCTGAAAGGCCTGGCTCTGGACAGCCCTGGTGTGAACAGCCTGGGCCTGGTTCTGGACGGATTGGGTCTGAAAGGCCTGGTTCTGGATGGTCTGGTTCTGGACAG